GGGCACCCTGGCCTTTCTCAGCACCACTTCCCAGGGCATCCATTCCACTGCTAGCTCCCTTAAACCCACTGGGGGCCAAAGCCACCATGAGCAGAGAGAGAAGGCTTCTTTTCTTTGAAATGTAGTCTGAAAAAACAAGGTACCTGTTACTGGTTGAGGCACTCTGGCTAGCTGTTAAAAAATACAGCCACCCAAAAGTTAATCTAGCTCTATTCAGAAAACCAAACTGTATTCACCTACCCCAGTTCTTTCTCAACAGTTCTCTCCTCTCGTGCTCCCCACATCAGGAAGGAAAGGATTGGTGTGCTGTGTCTAGGATCAGAGCTGATTTGGACCACTCTGGATTATTGGAAGGTCTCTAAAAATCCAGTACTTTGCTTTGAAAGTGTCTCACAACAGACTTCTCTGCAACAAAGCAGCCTAAATTCACAACTTTTACTGGTTCCAAGTGCAGCAGTGTTGCAGAAGCAAATGTGCACCTCTGAAGAAAATGAGCCCAAGTCTCCAGACAGCTCTATAGCTGGGACTGATGAAATAAGAGCGTAAGTATGGACAGTCACTGACTAACAGCCTATACCTTTCAGCAAGGCTGCTTTGTACTACTTTCTGTGCAGTGCGCTGACCAGAAAAAGGAGATAAAGAAGTGGGTTTTATTCTGCTTTTGTCCAGATCATAATTTCTTATTAGGGCTGAACAGATTATTTGGGGTACCTTGGGAGGGCAGGAGAAAGGTAAAGAGAAAGCTCCATTCTTGCTGCAGAAGCATTCCTCTCTTTCCTTATACCATCCACTCCCATAATTTAAGTTTTAAAAATAAACTGTAATTGCATAGTTAGTTCCATTACATTTTTTGTGGAAGAAACCTTATTTTGAGATCTGGTCTCTGTTCCTCTGTTTGCGGCTGCCTTATCCAGAATCCGATTCCCATAAGATACTGAGGTGCTGTATTTCCAAGTTCCAGTCATGCCAGACTTACTTTCCTTCACGTCAAACACTGTGAGGCTTCAGTTTGCTAATTCTGTAGTGCTGAGAGGACAGGGGAATTAAGGACCAGTTTGTCAAGCTTCACTTGGAGAATATACCCAGACTACAGTGTGCCAGCCCAGCAGGGCCAAAAATCAAGAGGGTTTTTTTTCCCCCCTTAAACTGGTGGAAACTATACTACAAAGGAGCAATGTTTTGGCAGCTGTATCCTGCACTATGGAATTTTAGACCGCTTGCCTATTCTGTAGCAAAATAAAATACCTCCAGAAAGGCCTACAGACCTGCCATCTTCATTTACGCAGAGGTACGTGTTCAGTTAGGCACACGTACTCACCTATGCACCTTCAGCCCACCACAGAACAAGAAAACCTAGGTCAGAACACCTCAGGGATCTTACGTAACTTTGGGAGAAATTCAGAAGATAGAAATACTACTGTGCGTACCCAAATACACCATATAGTGCTATTTGGTTATACAGAACACACACCACACGTGCGACATTACAGTTTGTGCACAGTGGGCAGAAGAAGCACCTTCAAAAAAGAAAGTTAAGAGCAAGTGCCCAGGTTATGGTTAGTTTTTTCCTTTGATCCACTCAATGTCCCAACAGGCTACTTGCAGTGCACTCCAAAATGCAGAGTATACATATGGCAATATGAGGCAGTGGCAGGAAAAAAACCTTACTGCACACATATGATCTCACATGGCAGCTATTTCAAGTATGCAAAATAATCATGTTATGAAGCAGAATAATTAGCTAAAATGATAAATTTTAAAGTTAGCTTTCTTAGGTACTAATGAGGACAGATATCTGCTAAACAAGCAGTGACAGCAAAGCAAAAGTCCCCAAACCCCTAAATGATATACTAGACCCTAGCAGGGAAGTAAATAACACCATGCATATTTTTTCCTCTCGCACCATTCAGCATGTATAACTCATCGAAGCAAGATGTTAAGTTAAAAATTCCTGTAAAATTCAAGGAAGAGCTGGATATTTATATAACAATAAGCTCCTCTACAATTACAGTGTCGATACAAAAACATTCTACCACACACCTCTCCACATGCAAAAATTCAAGCCAAAAAGTTACACTAAAAGTTATATCCTAGGAAAAAGGTCTCCACACAAACACTACTGCTAAATCCTGTCTTCTCTGAAATTCCTGCTTCTGCCAACTGTCACAGTTCTTGACGGAAATAACTTGTGCTTATTTATCATAAAGCACTTGAAAATGGGGCAAAGAACTTCTGTCTTATAGATTAGATTTCATCCTTACTATTTTACTCAGAAGGTGGATGATTTTGGGGGGTGTTTTTGGTTGGTTTTATTGTGCCTTTTTTTTTTTTTTTTTAAAAAAGAAGTTTTCTTGACTTCATGAGCAACTTTTTCTTCATGAGCCATCACTTCAAACCAAGAATAGTTGTTTCTTCTAGTAATTAAGGATAACCTTTTATGATAGGGTAACATATACTTAATATTCGGTGCATGCTCAGTAATTTATCTGGACTACTGCTGCCCTGTTATTTTAAACTGAAGCACTTGAAATAAAGTCTATTGGAATAAATAAGAACTTAAAGTTTTCACAAAAAATTGCAGCTTTGATAAAAACTAAAATAGTTTCTTGCAAATCAGTTTCCAAGTTTTCAAAGAGCAATTCACCCATGTGTTCAGGGTTTTGTACTTTTGCTTAGGATGAGCTGTTTCTTTGCTTTGCATGATGACGTGTGCACTGTCCCCTGAAGTCCGTTGACATTTTGGTAGAGGAAAGAGGGTCTAAGTGACAACTTCAAATCTGAGTAAAGGCAATAAGCTGCAGGCACAATGCCCAACTTCCACATGACGCACTTCATGATGGCTCTAAGAGGCTGAGTGTTCCTTGAGAGAAGACAAAGGACACAAGTTGCTTGTGAAGAGTGCTTCATTAGCTTTCCTTGGAGGCTGCTCAGAGCAAATATTGATAATGCTATTGTCATTGATAGTTCACTGAAGGAGAAGCGTTTGTACAGAGCATCCAGCACCAACAGTGAGATCATGCATCAAATCAGACCTAATTACTGTCTGCAGTTTTGGAAGAGTGGCATGACTCAGATGAGGAGAGAGAATTCCTCTCTAGCTACTTATGTCTCCCGTAGAAGGAAAGAGGCATATGAAATGTATTAGGTTAATTCTGTAGAGAAATTCTTTTGTCATATCCACTCGCTTCAGCAAAGAGAAGTCCAGAGAAACAGGATTTGCAGTTCAGACACCTGCAGCATCTATAAGTTGATACTAGACCTCTCTGTACACAGAGGAAGATAGAAAAGTTCAGGTTGGAAGGACCTCTGAAAGTCCTCTCTGGCCTCTCCCCCTCCCCACCTCTGCACTCAAAGCAGGGCATCTGAACTTACATGAGGCTGCTCAGGGCCTTGTCAGGCTTAGTTTTTAAATTCTGTCCCATCCCATCCTTGAAGCTGGTCAAGCCTGACTGGACACAGTCCTGGACAAACTGCTCTGGATGACCCTGTTTTGAGCAGGTGGGGTTAAGACTAGAGGATTTCCAGAGGTGCCTTGGGACCTCAATCATTCTGGAATTCACAGAGCTTTTCTGGACAACTCGTTAACCACCCATGTGTGGGGCAGGCTCTCTTTGAAGTAGCCCTGCAGCAGAAATACATCTGTTCTATATGACCAACGTGGCTTATTTGAAGTTAGTCCTAGGAACCACAGAATTTATAATAAAAAAATTACTCTTCAACAGGAAATGTTGATAAAGGAAAAAGGAAGCTGATAAATTCACTCCTTTTGCAACCTACAATTATCACACGATTTCACACAATTTCAGCATAGAAAACTCTAGTAACATTAGTTGGATTTCATAGTATTTTGAAGAGCATTTGAAGGCATAAACATTTTATTAGAGAGGCTGGAAAGAAAATTACCCAACCTCAATTTATTTTGAACCTGAACAGGCATGATCTTCTCACCACCTAAAGTAAACAGAATAGTCAAAAACTTTTTTTATTTTCAAGGCTGTACCCTGTTAGATATGATGCTTCACAGTCTGGACCAGTCCAGTCAGTCCTTGTGCTTTGATATGAAAAATGAAACTGTAAGTAGAGAGGACAAAATGTGCTAGATGGAGGGAAATAAAGACTTAAGTTATGAGATTACATACAGCAACTACCATGTTAGCATTAAATAAAAGCAAAAGGCACACAGGGAAAAACCTAGCTAGCACACACAGAATGAAGCGGTTAGTTCCAACTGAGGGGAAGAGGAGATAAGCGAAATGGAAAACTGTCTCCCAGTCTAGTGAGGGACCTGTGTTTAATATCAACCAAAGTAGTTTATATGTACCAAGCAAGTCTCCAGATGGAAGCTGTACTTTCTCTGCCAAGACAAATCTCTAGGGCAACATTGGATGAGGTCTTCTCAAATAAATAGATGTGGAATTCTACAAGGGGGTGGGGGGAGAAATAAAAATTGAACTCCCCTAACATTCTCTTTGTAAATTAACTAGATGTTTTAGCTCCCCTTCTCTTTTACTTTTTCTGGCACAAGAACCCCAAATACAACACAACACATCCATCCATCTCACAAAAGGAAAAAAAAAAAGTGCATTTCATATCAGATGCTTTGCGTCAAGCCTGCTAGGGCTCATAAATCAGCTGTCTTATTGCCCTGGTCATTTCAACCAACGTCTGACCCTTTTGTTAACTCATGATTTATAACTGGAAGTTTTGGTTTTTTTTTTTTTAATGCCAGATTTATAAACTTTACTGTGCTTGGTTTGATATAATATCCATTTTGTACACCAAGCTGTAAGACAGTAAATTTATTGTCTATGAACTGTTACCTTGAAAAATTACATCAATGCAAAGTGGTTTCCATTTAGAATCAATGGGCAATAAATTCATTGGGTTTTTTTTTTTTTGAAGGGGGGAGAGAACATGATGATATTTATGAGGTCATGAGCGGCTATATAACGGGTGAAACTGGGAGCAGAGGCAACAGACAGGATTTCCAAGTTACAGGGGTAGACAAAGACAAAATATATTCAACACAGCAACAATGCACAAGCTGGTATTCTGCTGTTTCATTATTATCAGCTTCTCCCATCCTCTCTCGTCTCTCCCCATCACCAACGCCAGTGAGATGTCTTATCAACTCTCAGGTAAGAGTCTTTTGATTTAAATGGTCGTAAAGCAGGGGCTGGAGCAATAAAACCAGAAGAGAATCAGGTATGCTTTCCGAGGGGCCTTTGTCTGTGCTGATTGGCTGTAGAAAAAGCAGGACTGTCTTCGGAACACCGGCAGCACAAGTGGCATCATCAGTGGGTGCTAGTCTTGTAAAACGGGGGGGTTGGGTGCCCTAAATATTTCTTCTTGCTGCTTCGAGATCCAGGAGACAAAGGCATCTGAGCCTTCTAGCACTGAACGCGAGCTGGCATATACAGCATCTGTCTTGAAGCAGTATTAGCAGGCATTGGGTAATTTAAAGAAACTTGGCAGTACGGTCTCTCCTCTTGCTACACTTTAAAATGAGCTATATTTAACTGAAGTTGTATTTAAAAAGGGGGAACCTACTGCAAAGATGATTGCAGTTCTACTTAGATCAAAACCAGGCAAGTCTGTCTTACACTACAAAACCAGCAATGTATTGAGCATGCTATTTGTTTGCACTAAGGCAGATTCCATTCAGTGCAGTGAAGGAATAAATCTTTGCTTGAAAAAGCTGTCCTCAAAGTTTGAAATTATACTGTAAGTCAAGCCTGAAATGGCTCAGTAAAAGTGCACAACAGAGTCTGGAAGGTTACCATCATCAGACCTGACCTGTGCTGGAAGAGTTTCTGAATTGAGTTCTGAAAGAACAGGCAAATCAACCCCAAAGTTACTGCATAAAGCTGACTATTAGAAAGTGTCTGTTCTTACCTGCTTTGCAGGTGCAACAGCTGTTATGCTGCTTTATAGGTATCAGTAGTTTCCCTTTTGCTTTGAAAATCATGGACTCATTAAGCCAGCATCTTCTCAAGCCTTCTACTCCGTAACTTGCATTTACAGGCAACCATGACTCAGTATGGATAACATCTATCACATCATAGGGTGAACGAGTTGGCACTAACAATTACTGCATTTGTTTGAAGACATCCATTAGGCTTATTAAATCTTCCTTGCTAATATAAAGAGTCTCCAGGCTTGGTAAAATAGAAGTAGAACTCTGTATTAGAGGGTTGTTTTGGGTTTTTTTAAATCTCAAAGCAAATTTACCTGCTACCAGTGCTCTGAATTAAACAATAATACAAAGCTAGAGATACAAATTGTCACTACATAGCACAGGGAAGTTACAGTATTCTTATTCAGAGTCTTACACCGAAATCCCCACTGTCCTTTGCAATTGTCCTTTTGTAAAGTGAACAAACTAACGACGTGGATGTCCAAGGTCTTCAAGTCCTTGATCTTGGTCCACATTCTTGAAATGCTGGGGGATTATTTTCAGCAGTTTATTTTCTTATTATATTCCCTATTGAGAGCTACACAGTCTCAACATCCTTGCAGGTGAGAGCAACTAAAACTCCACAGTATCATCTAAAAGTACAACTACAAGATTACATCCATCTACAAACTAGAGTTTGATAATAGCACCCTCTCATCGCCCACAGTTTTGCATGGCTGCTATATATTAGCAAAGATGAAATTTACTGCTCAGGTTACAAAAGCCTTACTTACCTCAAATACAACACAAGCCAAGGGCTCCTGTTGGCAACCTGCCTTAGGGCACAGGCTAGCTACGGAATTCTAAGTTCTTTATGGGCATACAAATTAATTCCATCAGGTATCAGCAATCTGTTGTTTCAGTAAAAGTAATAATAACCATACTGGTATGCACATTAAATGAGAGAGGTGATTGAAATGCATAGAGAAGCATAGCTGTTTTAAGATTTCCTACATTTATTTATTTATTCCTGCCCTTCCCCTCGTTTTATTGCATTTAATAGTTGGGGAAGCTGAGCAGGTTAATAGGCCTTGAACCAGAAGTTCTGTCTTTACTCATAGAAAAGCTCCAGCACAGGAACTAGCTGATAAAGAAATGAACTAAAATAAATAATATACAAGGGTGGGTTGTCTACAGCTGGGTACCAGAAAGATTAGGCTGTGAGCAACAGGAGGGGCTGCTGTTCGTCAAAATATTTTCTTAAAGAAAGATCTGCCAGAGAAATGAGAATCTGAGATTAACAGGAAGGTATCTTTTCTCAAAGCTTTGGAAGGAAAAAAACCCACAAACCAAAAAACCCCACCCAACTATCACCTGTTACATTCATTAAATGAGGATGGATGATTGGTGATTTTGTGATCATCTTCAACAGGCAGGGCCAACAGACATGATCAGGAATCATCCCAGACAGATTGAAACAGGGATTCAAAGCAAAAGACTCTTACCACATGCCTGTTTCTCTTGTTTTCCATTTGCAGCTGATGAAGATTCAAGATTAAGTCTGGAGCGGTTGGGCAGCCTAGGCAGCACTTCCCTGCTTCAGTTTCTGCCAGAGCTCTTGGGCACGCTGACTGAAGACAACAAAGCAGGTGAGGATTTACCACAGTGATTTATGGGGCCGTGCCCACGGTTTGCATGTCCAGCTCCCACAGATATTGTGCCCCGACTCCTGGGTATTTACTGAAATACAACATTATGTGTAGGCAACAGACAGCTGTCATTTAGTTAAATGGGACTTTGGGGAAATGTGCTGAGCAGCCGTGCTTGCAGCTCAATACTAGCTGGAAATCTCCAGATGAGTTTAGCAAAACCTCCACAGAGCAAAACTGGGGCAAGGAAAAGATTGGCCTAGAAGGAGCTAGCAGACAAGACAAAGTAGCACAGCCTCTTAAAAAACATCAATACTTGCAGAAAGTGGAGGATCAATAGCAATAGATGGTTTGGGGGGCAACAGATGCCTGCTGAAGAGAACAGTGCAGCTTGCACCTTCAGAGTCCCAGACCCTGTTGGAACAGTGTGTCACAAGAAGAACTGGCTGTGCTGCAGTGAAAGGGTTTTCTGTCTGGCCTTCCGAACATTCCAGTTCAAGACTTCTGCCAGCTACAGCATTATGCCACATGAGAATGACTTGCATAGGGTCATGATTTCTAAATGGTAAAGCATTTCATTATGTCTCTCCTCTACCAGGTCTTAGTCCCAGCAGCTACAACACAAGGGAGAATATCAAAGAGGTAAGTAAATGACCATCTGTCACTGAAACAAGAAAAATAAGACTCCACGTTTTAAACCACACGGAATTGTTACTGAGACATCATGTAAGTTCCACAGACTTCATGGACAGTATAGACTACAGACTAAAGTATGCCACAGTGTTCTCAAAGCTGAAATCACTTAGCAGTTAAATAATCAGGGGAGGAGGGGGAAAAAAAAAAAGGAAAAAAAAAAAAAAAAAAAAAGAGTGAGTGATCCAAAGCATTTCATTCTAAACCCCCACTTTTTTCCCCAGAAAAACAGCTTTCTTAATAAAAGGCCAACTTCCAGCTTCATCAGGCCAGGCCAGCACATTAACCACTATCAGCTGCTCATCATTTTTTTGCATACGCTTCATGGTATTATCAGATCTGTGATGAACCATTAGGTAAATGGAGAACACCATTCCTGTTCACTTGTCTGCTGAATTCAAGAATTAAATACAAAGGCAGAAGACAGTGACTAGTTTTAGTGCCCATCTAAATCAGAGGGGACACTGGGCAGCTGCCCAGTCAGAATACAGGGCTGGTTGGCCAGCTGGGGCAGCGAGGAGTGTACGTTCCTGCTGGGAACATTTGCCATCTGACAGTAACCTCTCTATTGCTGTTTGCACTTCAGACTTTCTATGGAAATCATCCTCGAATTGCTTTGCTGGGCCGCTTCTTGACCAAGGACAGGAAACAGTACAAGAAACGTGGGAATCTTTCAGAGTGCTTCTGGAAATACTGTGTGTAAACCAGAGAAGAAACTCTCCCTGACTTTGGTTGCATAATTTATACAAATGTTTGAAAACATGTATATAGATTTGCTTGATTTAAAATGAGAATGAAGAAACATGAAGACAGCTCCTAACTTTAGACTCTGTGCTACTTGGAAATTAATAAATTCTTGATGTTTTGCAATTATGCTGTGAGCAGTGTAGTATTTTCTTACAGCACAACGGAAAAAAAGTAATATGACAAAGAGAGAAATACGCAACATGAAGAGAACTCAGGCAGGGGAAGCAAGACTCCCATGGGGTCCCGTGAAACCTCCCAGAGGGTGGTGCCTCAGCTGCATCCAAGTCCAGAGGCAAGAGGATTTTCTCCTTTGTCACCTGACATAGATGGGGTGGCAGGAAGAAAGGGACATTCTGCATTCCCTGATGATGCCGAGCTGGTGAGGGATGGCAGCCTAACAGTGCCCAGTCCCCCTCCTGCCATCCCCAAGGCACCACAAAAATAATAAGCACATGTCAGGGTTAAGCATCCGCTCCCACTACCGCTGTAAAGACAGACCCACAAATCTATTTCTGTGCAGCACCTTGCCTACTCCCCAGCTGCCCAAGACAACAGGGTTGCCTGTGCATAGCACAGGCTTTAAGAATTGTGTCTGATTATCACCGAGCACAGCACCCAAGGTTAACATTATAGTTGTCAACGTCAAGGCTTTACACCCAGATTGCTGATGGTCAGTGGAGGCAGACAGGGATGACATGACTTAAAAAGACTATGACTGTGACCTGCACTTACGTGACTGCACACCCAGATGTGGGAAGGTGACATACGGACATAAATCGCAAATATTACTAGGGCAAGCCACCTCCTGCTTGGGCACTCGAGGGCTGTGAGATTTGTTCCCTTGAGCCACCATGCAGCTAAACGCCACACAGCTATTCACTCAATCCCCACCTCCTCAGGGGGATGGGGGAGAGAATTGGGGGAAAAAAAAGGTAAATTAGTGGGTTGAGATAAAGACAGTTTAATAGGACAGAAAAGGAAGGGAAAATAATAATAATAAAAATAACAACAACAACAAAAGAATATACAAAACAAGTGATGCACAACGCAATTACTCACCACCCACTGACAGACACCCAGCCAGTCCCTGAGCAGCGATCGCTTCCCCCTGGCCAACTCCCCCCTTGAATACCCCCTTGGCCAGTTGGGGTCGGCTGTCCTGACTGTGCCCCCTCCCGGCTCCTTGGTCCCCTGGCAGAGCAGGGGAAGCTGAAAAGTCCTTGCCTGGTGTAAGCAGGACTTGGCAACAACTAAAACATCGGTGTGTTATCAACATTGTTCTCATACTAAGACCAAAACACAGCACTGTGCCAGCTACTAGGAAGAAAATTAACTGTCCCAGTTGAAACCAGGACAACCTAGCATAAACCTTGTGCTAATCAAGGCTCACAGAAAGCTTGAAGTAAACCTCACCTAAGTGATACATGTGCTACACTGATCTCAATTATATACATCATAAATCTCTGACTGTGCTGTTTAAACAAGGCCTACAGGCTTGATACAGCTTGTTCACTTCACATAAATTGTAAGACAGACGAAGCCAGTTATAACAAAGAAAAATGTCCTTACAAATGCAGAGCAGCTGGATGCACCGGGTGGCTATTTGAAATCTTCTGACCATTCATCCTTCTCTTACACAATGGAGCAAGTCAGTGCCTGTCTGGAAATTACTCCTTTCCTGCCACCTCATCAGTCAATAAAAACTTGTAAGAAAAGACTTCAAATTTATCTAAATGAATAACCATCCAAGATAGATTTATTTTGTAGACAGGGAAAGGTGTAGAGCTACAAAGACTGGGGAAAATGTTTACTCCCACATCAAAAATTTAAAACAAAGCAAAATAAATAAACCCACAATGATTAAAACCCAACAAATACTACAAGTATTAAAAAGTTTACTAGCTATCTACACAAGAGAATAAAGGAACAAAGAGACCTGTCAGGTGGTGCAGATGGAGTCAAGACAAGGTAACCAGGCTATAAACCCTCAAACTGTTTCAGCTTTCAATACTGCAAAACCCTTCCTAGCAGTCACGGCATCTAAAGAAGCAATACTCAAACAACTTACTGTGTTCAAGCTAGGCCAGAGCACAGCAGCAGGGGCTGGGGGGAAATTCGGCTAATTCTAATATAGCAGAATTTCAGTGGAGCCTGAAACTTTGTCATTCACAGTCCTTGTCTCTGGTAGGAAGAAGGTTCAGCCTGCATCTTTGGAAATGACCAGTATTTGTCAAGTAAACCCTTCGAGACCCTGTTGCACACCCAGCCACCTCCTTCCTGAAGGAAATGTTCACAGGAGGTGCCAGATAAACTCAGTTCCAGGGCCCGAGAGCAGAGAGCCTGGCCGGAGAAGGGCAAACTCTGCTTCTCCTCCATCCTGATAGAACCTATAGATCCTGCCAGCTTTCAGCTCTGAGCTTTTCCTCTCTTCTGCAGGCCAGAGAGAAGGAGGCTGGAGCTGTCACAGAAAACTGAAGTGATTGCAGGAAGAGCTTCAGTGGCCAGGCTTTCCACTGGACAGGGCAGAGCTCTCTGAGCAGAGAGAGGTGAAGCTGTAGCTAGGGAAGTGAGCTGCAAAAGTCCTGTCTGTGCCAGCCTGAGCCCACCTGTAACGGTTTTGGGCAGCAAAGTGGCGCATCCAACGGGAGCCAAGCAGGCAGACACCTGTGTTTGAGCTGCACAGGAGCAGTGCATCACATATATCCTGAAAGATCAGAAACTGTGGAGCAAGCCTACTACAGAAAAGCTACTGTCATGTTACTTTTGGGATTGGGGCGAATAAGAATCACAGGTCCAATCTCTCACCATCTGCCAAAGATACCAAAGTGCATTGTTCAGCTCGCCTTTGACACGCGTGCAGAGGGGGAAGCTACAGGTTTTTATCTGCAAGCAAGAACTTCAGCTGACAGGAGGATGGCTGCTATTGACAAACCAGTAACTTAGCTGGACTGATGTCGCCTAGATTTCTGAATAAAAACATCACACCACCGTGAACTTTTTCATTTCACAAGTCTATGCACTTCTCCTCATAATTTTTGGACCAAAAATACCCAGCTAATTTGGCTGATGTTTGTGAGTATGTTTAGAATGACCAAATCACCCTTTTAAAAAGTAATAAGCCATCAGCAAAAATATATCCAATGTTACCTTCAAAATGCCTGTATTTCAAGGAACTGCATCACCTTGCCAGAAGCACCTTCAGTTACATACTTATCTAAGATTACTTCTTTCTTTCTCAGTTTTAATAAGATGCTCTATCTTTTCTCTGTGCCTTGTACTCCATGCAGTGACTTTGCCTTCCTCCTGCAGGCTTCTTTAGGCACCATCGACCACACTTCTTGCTAAAGTCCCTTAAAGCAGAAAAAGATGAGCAAGTTGTTTCTCTGCAGTTAGTTAAGAACTTCATTGCTCTATGAGACATGCCTGTGAAATAAACCTATGAATTGTTTCTTTGTACTCCTCTAGAACACAGATTTTAGCACGGTGGGGCCAAAGTGCTCCCAGGGTGTTTATTATTTACCTTTTCTAACAGAATCAGCACAGACAGAAGCTTTAAATCCTGCATGCCGAACCCCAACACAAAATATAATCCTTAATGTTCAAAAGGTACTTGCCCTTCTTTGTGGGATGCAGGTAGAGAGGAAAGAACACATCCTGAAGTGGGTAAGGTAGAATGAGATTAAAAAATCTCCCAAACCCCATATAAAACAGGACGAATGGCCACTACATCGCCATTTTCACTGTACCCCCAACCTCAACACCGACGTACAATCGGAAAAACGTAATGAATATTTTCTTAGAAGTCTACTTTCTAGAAATTACCAAACAACAAAAGTAAACACGCACTTCAAACAGTTCTTTGCAGCACATTTTTCAGTTTTATTTATAAAACCAGAAGCTCCTTTAAATTGTACAATTAAAATCACAACTGTAAATTCAACCACAGCTGAGTATTATTTCAATAAAATATTCCTATCAATGGATGTAAAAATTCATTCAATTTAAAACTCGATTCAGCTGGAAGATAAACTTACCAATACATTACTCATTCAGCAAATATTTATCGCACACTGTAAAAATACACCAGGGTCCCTCCTGTTCATAGCAATGCCATGAAAATATTTGCACATCAACTCATCTTTTAAAAACATAATTCTGTATTTATGAACACAACAAAAAAAAAAAATTACCAGCGAAATCCACCAAGGGTTTCCAAACTGCTGACACCCCCACAGGGGGTAGTAACCGAATCATTACTGTACTTGCGTGTTTTCCCTTTGATCACCAAAAAGGTGACCTTCTGAGCAGCTCCAAACTGTCCGCAACATTTTAATTATGCCAGGCAAACCACAGTCACATGAACAAAATCGCATGTGCAAACCTGGCTGCACTATTACTTCCATTGGTCTTTCAGATCAGAACTGGATCTCACTTCAACTACTCCAGCAGACTACAAAGACTGAAAGATTAATATAAGCTGAAGTAAAAACTATCAGTTCCTGAAAACTTATGGAAACGAGGTCCTTCCCAAAAGGCTTGATAAGGCATTTGATTGCAAGATGTTGTGGTTCTAGTGGGGTAAAGAGTAGCTTGGGAAACTGTTTTTTGTCCTAAACCCAGTTTTGCAGTCAAGACCATTTGTGGTTTTGGGCAAATGATTTGGTTTCATTGTCACACACGGCACTGATTCAACTCTACATCCCTCTTATATTCTTCTCCCATACCATAATTTTTTCTATAACCCAGGATAAGCGTAGCTCCAGACAAGGAATCTTGCACCTAAGATTTAGGCAGGATTACAAACTTTGAATTCAAACTGCTAGGAACATGCACTTTCATTACATACAGGCATAGGGTATGGTGTTCACAGCACTACGAAAACTCCCTAGGCTTTCTGTTGCTATATGATCCTGCTGGGCACAAAGTCATAGTAGTAGGTGGTACAAGAAGGGTTAACATCTTCAAACAACAAACACATCTAACATGATCA